ACATTGTGTTGGAGTCAATGAACAATGCCGATATATCTCAATTAGGACAATGTTAATTATTTTTTAATAATTGCAATTGACATTTTTTCATATTGATATTTTCACGTGACCTCGGGTATACATTTCAAGAAGACGATAGTGCGAGAGCGTGCAAGGAACCAAAAGGACGGGACCAATTACTCAGTAGAACTTACGTCCTAAACAAAGGTTTAAAAGTCAGAGGAAACTGTCATAGACGAGTGATTTTTAAACTGATATGTAAACACTGTTGAGAAGTTTTCAGTTCAGTTGATTAGATATTTGTAGAAAGAATTCAGAAGACAAATGCTTTATATGTTTTGTCATGCACCTGTTAGATTTTTCTTTAAACAATTAATTCATTACAGTACCGTGCTAAAATACCAAAACTAGCCCCTTTATGTCGTCAGAAAATTAAGGATAGAATCATATTTTTGGAGTAAGAAAAAGGCTAGTATATTTTGGGGCCCTTTATAGCTTACTGTTCGGTGTGAGCCAAGGCTCCGTGTTGAAGACCGTACGTTGACCTATAATGGTTTACTTTTATAAATTTTGACTTGGATGGAGAGCTGTCTCATTGGCACTCATACCACATCTTCTTATATCTAGCATAAGGAAACCTTCTTAATTCTGAGTAGTAATAAAATAATTCTACAAATATGTAAAGTATACCTTTCAAATAATATTGTCTTAAAAACTGCTTTCAATTGGATCGCATTGTAATATAATTTCAAGTAGTGGATACTAACTGTTTGCTTATAGCACTTGAAAGTAACGTAAATGCAAAATATACAGATGAAATGGTCATAGTAACTTTAGGAATGTTCATTGGCCGTACAAGATACACTTTATATGGTGATTTTGATGAAATCACAGCGACATAGTTTGAATACTGCTTTTTTTGTTCTAATTTACATTAAAAAAAAATAATTGCTTTCAATGACAAAATCTTCAAATTAAATCCGTTATCTTAGTTATGAAATTATTCCGGGTGAAATATACGAAAACATTTTAAGTATATAAAATTAATATTCACGGAATCAGTATTCAAAATATATATTTTTTTTCATATTTGATATTAGAAAGGAATGCTATCAGATTATATTGGTATTTGATTTCAGTAGAAATTGAAATGTAAATTTGACAATAACCTAGGTAGGTCTCACATTACCAGATGGTTGAGATAACGATAGGCAATACACCAGTCGGGTCGAGCAGTGACATCGCTGCGTCTTTGCAAAACGTTTTATCACATTCTACCTTCAAGAAATACCGTAAATTACCTTAGTTGTTCAAATTTGATTAATCTATCAACAAAATATTTCTGAAAGTGTTGTAAATAATGGTATATCTGATGCATAGTTTATGTCTTGGTTCCACATTGAACCACTAAAAGTATTTTTGAAAACTAATACCTGATATGTCGATTTGATGGATTAATTAACAACCTTTTCCATTAGATAAAAGATTCCGTATTCATTATATTTGTCCCTTAAATAAATACGTTACAAGGATGAAGCGTACTTTAATGCCCATAGACGACATTTGCTTAAAAATATCATGTCAAACAAACACACTTAGATAGACATATATATATAGATACTAACCCTGATTTACTGCATCATGTGGGCTAAAAACAATTGCAGTTGTCCCATTCTCTTTAGACGCCAATTCCTGCTTTTGTTTTAAAAAATTGTTTTGAAAGATCAGTTTGTGGAATTTTACTTTTTATTTCATAAAAATCTGCGCACAATCTGCATAAAATGCACACAGTGAACAAAGATTTTAGACAAAAACGTTTGAAATATGTGAAATGATTAAACAAATCGAAGTTTCTCACTTCCAACGTCCGCTTTTTAAAGACAATTTCACAAAGTTTGAAAGTTCTGTAACTACTTTGCTACGTTTTTCGTCAGTTTAAGAGTCAGTATATATATATACATAATGTTACTGGATGGTAAAAACTTGTAATTAGCTATTTGTAAAATAAATGGTATTAGATATAGATCACTACATAAAAACTCAGATATAGTATAAGAACCTCTATTTATAGAGACAATGCTTGTGTGTGTTTGTTTACTCTTATAACTAGTTTTACTAATGGTAGTGATATTGGTTTGTAATTGGAGTGAAGGAGGTAGGATTTTACCAAAATAGTCAATCAGTCCATTTCTCATTAAAACTGACAGATTGGTTTCAATGAATATGTTATGGCAAACATTTACCTTTATATACACCAATTATTTATAAGTTTTCTTTTTAGAAGGATTAATTAATGACAACATCTGAAATAAATAAATATGCATACGTTATGATATTGCTTACATTTTGTCATTGCAGAAGTTCATGCTTTTCTCGAACTTCTTATGACGTCCTCACACTAAAGTCTGAGGAGGTGAAATGATCTGGAAGAACATGGTTTATTGTTAATGGAAATTGGTTTTGGATTAGCTTTTACTATCTACTTTGTGTCTTATTCTGTTTGTTATTTGTTGAGTGCTAAGTAACAATCTGACGAGTCAAGCCCTTTTCGACTTATGTTTATAGTTTGTTGATTTTGTTATACCACTAGCCCAGGTTATGGGTAGGGTTAAAGATATTCAAACGTATGTAAGGCCCAAGTCAGGAACCTGTAATACAGTGGTTTTCTGTGGTTGCATGTGACATTTTTGTTTTCGTTCTTTGTTGTATAGTATAAATCATGACATTGTTTGCTCTTTTGAATTGTATCCCATTTTGTCAATCCGGGACCTTTTATAGCTTATAATTATTATACGATATGTGATTGCTCGGTAATGTGTATATGTTCACATATTAAGACTTCTTTCTTTTGTCTGTTGATAATTGTCTTATTGGCAATCATACCATATCTCGTTACTTTTAAATATTTAAAAATCAAAATATTCATCCTGTATGGTATGGAAGATAACAGAATGCCTTCCATAAACAGATTGTAAGGATATGAACAATGATAATCGAAATGGCCCAAAGTATTAATATAATTCACATATAAGTATGATTGTTTAGATAAATGACTAACGTCGATAATCCTACAATATATTGGAAGATATGTTGTTGAAAATTTCTTTCGTTTCGGGATAATGGTAAACTAAATAAATACTTTTACTGTTTTTAAATAACTTTGTTTTGAACTTTTACGGTAGCGGAACACACACGACTGTTATTTATGATGTGAGACAGTCTTTTATATCATAGATAAATAAATACCATGTTAAAGAAAAAATTTAATTTAAATGAAGCAATAAATATACTGCGGTGTTGTTTGATACGGTCATTCATGTAAATGAAAGTCTCCTTTTTCCAGCTATTAATTTGTTCTAAAAGGCATAGCAGGTCATTAACGAGCTGTTTAAATGATTTATGCTAGAATATATTAGATTTTCCTACCCTTATAGTTTTATGTTTATGCAAATTTGATTAAACGTGTATTTTTTCTGAATCAGTTACCTCATATATATGAATGTAGCAGTTTCTTATTTCTTTAATTTATAAAGAGTTAATTAAAGCTATATCTTTTACGAGCATCAGGTGGAAGACTATAAGAATTTTCAAGTGCTACATAATACCCTGTATTGACGAGTTTATCGCTAACGTCATGTTACACGTTTTTTCTTCAAATTTGTACTCGCTGTTTTGTGCCAAGACTCGCATCAACGGACTGAAGTTGGGAATGTGTAGATAAAACGACTATGAATTGCAAGCATAAAAAATTTTGTTGACAATTTGTCATTACAAAATATAAAACTGCTTACTTTTTAATCTTTTTAAAAATCATAAATACTAGATAATGTGAGAGATAAGTCAATGTTATTATACAACCTTGATATGTTTATAAATAATATATCATTCATTATTGATGACCTCTACAAGATTTTAACGAGGAATAAAAATATTAAAAATCCGTTTGTGTTTCCTTATTACGACTTGGTCTAATGTCTATTAAAACCATATTGGTTCATTTGATAACAATTATTGGGATTAAACTGTAATATTTTTTCAGAAGACTCCTACGTTAAATGTAAGTGGCCAACACCGCCTGTTCATGGATATATTATAGGCCCAGTGACTGTAGACACTGGATCTATAATTCATATAGCATGTAACCATAGTTATCATCTGATTGGTGGTAACACTATGCAATGTCAGGCTGTACCAAGTCCTTTTACACATATGGCGTTATGGTTTCATCAAGTTGGGGACATGTATTATAGCGATCAACCAAAGTGCATAAGTAAATCAATTTAGAATTTTGGTGATGGTGCTTACAAGTGAATTATGCATGTTTGCTGTTTTTCCAAGTTGTATAAAATAGTGCATGTATAAAGAGCAAAAGGGGAAAATTAATTCTTCCTTTTTTTAAATTTCAATTATAACTTCTTAACTGGATAGAATAATGTGTGTACTTGTCATGTTTATTAAAGCCAAGTGACAAAAGTTTGTGTTACTACGTATTTTTTTATGACGAAAGAAGTGGTTATGCGCAATTTGAACGTTCCTCTTACTTAAAAGCTTTTACAATTATTCATTTGTACCTTTGACACATTTAAGATTAACATTTTATAGTTACTTTCGTTTTCTTATTTTTGTTAGCTGGTATGTCAGTATACATCATTCCATGCATGTTTGTGAACAGCTATGGTTATCTTACATTGTTTCTTTCTCTGTCGCATTATTTTCCTTTTGCTTTATGTACGTTTTCTTAAGTATTAAATGATTTTGCATACGATTTTGTTGTAGTTTAGAGTAAATGAATATCTACAGCTGAAAAGAACATTGAAAGTTTACAATTTTGTAAAGAATATGTTCTTAAGTTTCGTTTTCAATAGGCTGTTTTTAGTTTTATATTGGTCTATATGTGTATATATGGAACTGAGGTAATTTTCCTTTTATGAATACAATGATTTTATTTTTTATTTTAAATGCGTTTATCCTAATAAGAATCATTTTCTGTGTATTTGCAGAAGAAATAGAGCCTACACCACCAAACAAGAGAAACAATGATTACGAGGAAATAAAAAAACAATTAACAAAACCAGGTCGTAACATAAGGCCTCTGAATGAAAAATTTGGTAAATCTTTAAAGGTTTCAAAACAAAACGTTCCAGAATCTGATAGCTCTTTTGAAGAACAAAAACCCGAGGTGTCTGTACCACCACCATTGTCATCCCAAGGAAGAGCAAAGCGAGAATCAGGTGAGTCAGGAAATTACAAAGTATTGACTGTTAGACTGGGATTTAACAGTGGCATGCATACTGAAGTAAAAGCGAACAAAACAGGTTTCCATATCAACCAAATCAGTCCTGTATAAAATAGACCTTAAAGTAATAAGTTTTAAATGAATTTTAAAGGAACATTTTTATTGTTAACTTAATACAGACATCATATGTTGTACGTGTATATTATGAAATTTAATGTATGATCATGTATGTATAGCTATACTGTCAAACTCAATAACTAGTTTCTTTGCAACAATTAATGCACCTTTTTATACAACATATGTAACCTAATTTTTTCTGCCGATTGTTGACTTTGCACTGAAATTTGGAGTACATTAAATATCATATACTTTTATTAACTAAAAAGAGAAACTGATGATTTCAGATTCACAGAATATATAGACATACATTAGGTACTGTGTTACAATCCTAGATGATGCCGACTATAGGGAAGTCATCATTCGACTAACGAAAGCAATATTTAGTTAAAACCTAGTTAGCCGAGGGGACCCTGGCGTTGAACACCGTGCGAGCAGACTTGCCACGCGGAACAGAAGCATGGGTTCAAATCCCGCCGAAGGAAGGACATCATGGCAATACAATTTTTTAAATATGTTTTGTCGGCATTAAGTTATGTCAAATAACAAGTCAATATCATTGATTTTATATACAGTCTTCGGTTATGGTTGATCTCATAATAAACAATAATAATTTTATCTATTTCGTTCAACTTTATTTTTAGATGATCAAATTCTTGTCGAGTTCGAAGAAGAAAAAGAATATGAAGAAATGATACAAAGAGGGGACGAAAACGATGAAAACAATTCTGAAATTGAAATGGTTGATGGAGTAAATGATAAACCTGAACCAAACTGTATTGAACCGAGAAACACTGGACCGTGTCGTGCATCAATCCCTAGATACTTCTTCAACAAACAATCCAAAAACTGTGAAATGTTTACATATGGTGGTTGTCGTGGAAACGGAAACAATTTTGAGACAAAAGAAAACTGTGAACATCTTTGCAAATCTAATGAAAATGACGACAGTATGTCGAATTCCACATAATTATTTTAAATGTTTTATTGAATTTATTCGGTGAAATGGGTACATCATTCCACAGACAAAAGACAAAATTTGAGTGAATTTAGTTTAGTGACAACACTGAAAACCGCTAGTGCTATGATGATTATCTGCATTTAATGTTAGCTGTATGAAAACAGAACTATGCAATGTATATATGAGACAAAAATGAAAAATAAGAGAGAGTATAGTCTGTTTATTTAGCTCAATTTTAGTTCAGATAAGACAATTATTCAAACTAAACAATGTGGACAACAGTCCAATAATTTCCTTCTTGCCATTCATATTTAAATTAATGTCAAAATATCAAATCAATTAAATTTGATTTGATTTAGAAAATATGTATTAATATGTATATATATATATATATATACATATATATATATACAATCAAATTTTCACAAAGCATTTGTATAGTGAAACACACATATTTGCTATAAAATATATTTTTTGTAGAAATGCTATGCATGGTGCTCAATTGATGACGTCAAACTTGGTTATAAACACATTTAATTGTTTTTTTTTATTATCAGGCCAGTTTTCAATTGATATAGACCGTTATACCCTTTATACCCAGGACCAGCTTCTGCATTTGAAGGATGATATCAAATGTAGTTATTATTCTAATGAACGTATGACTTAAATACTGCTTGTTTAAACAGTATTTACATCTTATTTTCATACTTTAATGAACTACAGTTCTGTTGATATAATACATTTGGTTTTTTCCATGAACGACACATTAAATGTCACATGAATGTACAACTATGGTCATATAATAATTCATTTAACTCTGACAATTTGTTTATTCTTAATCAAGAAATCATTATCTGCAAGACACACATACAGACACAAATAAAACACACTTAAAAGTTGGTCAGAAAAGGACAAAGATTTTATTTAAAATTAGGAACGTGCATGTTCAAGTGTAATGTTATTTTACCAGAAATATTTATGTTAAAAAAAATGTGATTATTCTGTTGTCTGTTAATGATTTTATGAAAATTAATTGTTGTTATTGTTATTACTTGTGTCGTTGAAATGAAATTTTCTAAATAAAAAATTGTTGTTTATTATTTTCGCCGACAGCCTGAAACTCGAATACTGCATTCACTATAACTTGATATAAAATCAATATACAGTGACATCGAAGATACGTGAACATTATTGACTCAGTGGGATCTTAATAGTACTGTTATTATTTGAATAAATGATTTGCAATTTTCCTATATTCCAAATATTAGATTTTTAATAATTTTTAAGATTTCTGTAATAAAACTTAATTTATTTGCAAAGCGCCAAGACCGTGTTACTTCATTCGTTATTTTATTTTTTTAGAGTAAACAACTGGTCCGTTGAACTATATTTCTTTTACTCATCAACCAGAACTACAATTGTTATTTTGCATAAACTGTATATATTTCTTGTTATCGTAGGAAACTGACAAAATGGATATCAAATGCTTTATGAAATATGATCTTTCCTATTTCTTATATTGTTAAATGTGTATAAATGAAGTATGTATATATGTATGAGTTATATTAATTTAATCGATAAAGATAGCTTTATTCTGGCAAAAGGAAACATCTAATTTAAAATATGTCTTGATTCATAATAGTGACCTCAATACAAATTGTATCTAACTTGTTTGGCGATGCAAGTGTGTTTGGTGTACGTTTTGAGAGATTTGTTTCTATACTGCTCACAAAAAGAGCATCCTTCGGGATAAATAGTGTATTATGTACTTACAGTTTTATTTTAATTTTGTAGAGATGATGTTGGGGCGGCTTGAGGCGACGAACACTAAAAAGTTGTGTGATTATTATACATGTTTCATCAGTTTGAGTTGTTTAACGTGATATATGCCGTACAAAGCGGCATAACTCAGATCTATTCAAAACTACATAGATGAGTTGATCTCTTTGATACAGGTATTCAATCAAAAAGAAATATAAAAAAAAAATGAAAAATTTGATACTATTATCAATTATGGCATTCATAATTTGGGTAAATGGGCATCATGTAAATTTGTAAGAGTCATGTGTTTTTGATGCAGAATTCTATTTATTAACACCATTTTGTTATTCCTTTTGCAACCTTTGAAAATTTAGTTGAAATGTCAAAGCTATTCAAAAGTCAATAATTCGAAAAGTTCAACCAAGAAAACATTTGTTTTAAATGTGTACATTTAAAACAAATGCATGCAGGAAGACCTGCATATTCGCCATTTAGCACATGTTTGAGGGGGTCTGTTCGTGGCTTGTTGCCACGTAAATTAGTTTCGCCTATCTATTGAAAGTAATAATTGAACTGTTTATATTATCGACCTTCTTTATGGTCAACCTACTTTACACAAACTTTCTATTTGATTTTGTTATTATTTTTAATCTTTTCCATGGCAAATATATGCCACTACATGCTACGCAAACAACAATCATTTTCATGTTTTAACGAATAACTTTTGTCTGCAACGCTTTCCGATTTCGGCTGCATTTTTTTCGCATAGGCATATAGGTTCTTGGGTTTGATTAGTTGGGCAAAATGTACAGAATATCTCATCAATAAATAAATTATAGCTTCCGTACTGAATTCTTTATTGGGTATGGAGTTTGATAAATGTAACAGTTCTAAATATTTGATTGGAAGTTCAAACAAAACAGGAACTTAAAAACAAACTGCTAGAATCATGCCTCATGTGCATATAAATTAGAAAATCAGAAAAAAGTACAGTGCGAATTAGAAAAAAAATATATCTTAAGGAATATTCTTCAATCAGACAGCACAATTCAAAAACACAGCAGGATCGAACCCCATGAAAGGTCTCACCTCTTTAACCTATTATGACTGAAATTTATTTTGTAATAAATCTTATTAAAATCAGATCGTGTTGAAATTAAGGTCTTACAATAGGTATCACAAATGAATGACACCTGACTGATATATGAAAATGGGCTCAAGATCAGACGAACCTCGTCAAATGAGCATGTACACAAGTCACAATCAATCTATTCAAGAAATGTAGTTGACCTATAACTTTTTAGCGACTAAGAATCTGATATAACAACGAAAACATGACGGTGATCAATGAATCATCATAAGAATGGGGTCAAGGTCATATCAACCCTGTCAGGCAGAAATGTACTCCTGACAATAATTTTTAGACCATACACAATCAACCAACACAGTAAATGCGAAACTGATATATTCCCAACAATTAATCTATCATTGATAATTGATGAAGTATAAAATTAAAGTAAAGTTGATATGAACCTTATTAAGTCCTGACATCTTGGAATCGTTCTACCGGTATGCAAATAATGTAAAATTCCTAAAATACTCTCTTTTAAATTATTCAAAGCTATTATTTTGTATGTACCTTAATATCATATCATGGCTTAAAAAAGATATACCCAAACGTCCTAACGCCTTCAGAGGTATTTCTTATATATACAGTCTGGTTATTTCGTTCGTTCGAAAAGTCCGAGCATCCCGTTTACATAACATAAAACGAAGAGACTTATAGGACGAACTAACGTAACGCCCAATGTCATATAGATGAATGTATATAATAACTGATATATCACCAAAGAACATACTACTGAACTTATCAAAAATACATTTGACAATAAAAACGTTATGTAAGGTAATTACTATGAAAAATTACCAGTTAATGCCTGTGCTTTTAACACGGTCTTTGTTTATGTTTGTTCTCGTTAAAAAATAATACTTTTATCTATTTCTTTCAACTTTATTTGTTAGATGATCAAATTCTTGTTCATTATGAGATTGAAGAAAGAATGCTAATTGAGGATAAAAATGATGGGAGTTTTTCTGAATAGGAATGGGACATGAATAATAAGCCACATAAATTTTTTACTGAGTCGAAAACAACTGGATCGTGTAGTGTAGAGATTTCTTCAACAAGAAATCCAGAAAATTTGAATGCAAATATAATTTCAAATCTTATTAAAAAAACGACATTACGTCGAAATCCACATAACTATTTTATGGTCAAGGTACAGTAAATGGGATATGTGTCACAGATTTTGGTAAAATTTTGCAGACAACTTTGACTTATTGAACCATTACTGAAAGTATAAAAAAATAAGGCATTCATCTCTTTTATTTTCTGAATAATTTCTTAGTGGATTCTTTCAAGCTAGTTGAACACTTATTCAAAAGGCACATACAATCAGCGAAAAAATATAGTCCTAAAATCATCAACTCTCCAATTTCAAGTCCATAGATTTTTCTTAAAAAGTATAAGTTGTTAATACATCAATTTCCTTTTATAAGGAATTATAAAAAAATATCTATAATCAAAGTATGTTTAGAGTCAAACAATTATATTTTGTATTACTTCCAATTTTTGTAGGAATACTATGGTGCAAATAATTGGATATTAACACTTTTATTTTTTTTTTCATTATTATGTCAATGTTCAATTGCATGTTGTGTCGACTATTATATTTTTAGTTTGTGCGTTTCTCTGTGATGAATGTTCTAACGTGTGCTGTATTTCTGTAACGTAGTATTGTAATTTTAGCGATATTTTTTAACATTGTCATAAAGCGGGAGGTTTGGCTAGCCATTAAACCAGGTTAAACCCACCATTTTTTTCTTAAAATGTCCTGTACCAAGTCAGGGATATGGCAGTTATCAAATAGTTCGTTTCTATGTATTTTGGCGTTTGTTTTTGTTGCACCTCAGTGTTCCTGTTGTTCTTTAGTTTTCATCTTATAGTGATGTGTTTCCCTCGGTTTTAGTTTGTAACCCGGATTTGTTTTCTCTTAATCGATTTATGACTTTTGAACACTGGTATACTACTGTTGCCTTTATTTATTCAGTTGAAAAACACCGTGGAACTTTTTATGCCTGAACCAGGTTCTGCATTTACGGTATATGTTTACCCACTGAAAATAAATTGACAAATTATTGTTTATTCCACAGTATTTTTTTCTCGATTGGCGTTTTAGTTATAAACTTGCATTAAGATAGCAAAATAGAAAAGTAGTATGTTGTTCTTTTCTTTAGTTTTACTTGAAACCTAGTCATACATTTGTATATCCTGTTTTTGTGTCTACTCTATATTCAAATTCTCACACTATCTTTTTAACCATTTCGTATTATTCAGTCACATTTTTTAAAATGAAGCAAACCAACAGTATCTTAGTCACAATGCTTTCTTGAAATATTATCTTTTCTGCTTTTTTTTTTGTCCGTAATGTGCAGAAATAAAGAAAAAAAAGTAGAACAGATAATATTTCATGAAAGCATTTTGTCGGTTTCCCACGAAAACCAAAACTGCCTATATTGCTTGTCATCGTAGGAAACTGACAAAATGCATTGAAAAATTTAATGAAATGTAATATTTCCTATTTGTATGTTGTTAAAATGAGTATAAAATGCGATTGTATTTATGTCAAAGAAACAGATCACTCGTCATGATGCCCATCACGGCCCCTTAATTGGAACAATAAATATTCTATTCGGATTCTGTTAAAAGGAAGACAACTCCAATTTAAAAGATGTCCTGTCCCCCATCTCAAAAGTATTTTTCACATGTTTCAATAACCACATAACAAAATTATTTATAAGTTCATACTGCAAAAAGTTGAAAAAAGAAAACAGGATAAATATTCAACACATGAGCATCAAGGAGAATATAAACATATTAAGGAGATGTGGTATGATTGCAAATGAGTCGACTATCAACCATAGTCCTACGGTCCGTGTAACACTTAACAATTCAAAATTTTAAAAAGTATTCAAATTTTAGTTTTTTTAATTGTTGATCAAAGTTTTAATATATCAACATTCCAAAGTTTTGAATAATTTTAAAATTTTTAAAATTTCACCAAATAATTATAAAAATTTTTAAATTCTAAAATTCGTTTCAAATTTGATAGTTTATATGTTTAATCAAACTTTTAAAATACTACACTTAACGTGCAGTTTTGATTATTTCGCTATTTGAAATTAAAAATAGAAAATGGGCGAAAAGAGAACATTTGTATCCGAAAAGTCACTTGCTTGATAAAGCGTCCATCATTTAGGAGTACTGACATGATTT